CCCAAAGTTGAGCTTAATAGAGCAAGCTTAGATCATGCGCGAAAGCTGCTGATACAGATGCTTAATGATGCCGGTGTTCCGCACGCGTCGAGTTGGGAGAAGGCCTTGATCCCAATCTTGCGCCAGTGCACAGACGATGTCAATCCTGACGTAGACAGAGGCGACGACATTGATGTGAGGAACTACATCAAACTTAAGAAAATTCCAGGTGGCAAGCCAAAGGATACGGCATACATCTCTGGGGTGGTTTTCACGAAGAACGTCGCCCTGCGAAGTATGCCACGCAACATACCTAATCCAAGGATTGCGATCATCACTTTTGCTATCGAGTACGCACGTCACCAAGCACATTTTATGAGTCTCGAGCCTGTCATTGCGCAGGAGCGGGAGTACCTCCGCAATCTTGTCAGTCGTATCGCAGCTCTCGAGCCTCATGTCCTGCTCGTACAGCGCAACGTGTCTGGTCTGGCACTCGAATTTCTAGAGAAAGAAGGGATTGCTGTAGTCTATAACGTCAAGCCTACAGTTCTCAATGCAGTAGCGCGATGTACTAACTCGAAGATGATCTCTTCAGTGGATAAGTTGGCGATAGACCCGTCTCACCTTGGATCCTGTGGCAGCTTTGACGTCAAAACTTATGTGCACAAGAATGCGAGAAAGACTTACATCTTTCTTTCTGGATGCCAGAAAGAGCTTGGTTGTACGATTGTCTTGCGAGGTGCCGAGAGCCATGATTTGGTCAGGCTCAAACGTGTCACTGAGTTTATGACATATGTGGTGTATAACCTCAGGCTCGAGACTTGCCTGATGCGTGACGAGTTTATAGATACACCGACGGCGTCTATCACTGGTACTCTTGCCTCGAACTGTCATGATCAGGACAGCTTGCAATCCCAAACCGGCACGAGTGATCCCGCTTCTCAACCTACCAGCACGTTATCCGACGGCAACAACCCACAGTCTAACGACGCTGCACCATCATACTACAGCGACATGGTCGAAAACCACCGCACTAAGATCCTCTCCTCTTCGCCTTTTGTCAAGTTCATGCAACCTTACCTGCTCGAACAGGCTCGTCAGTATGAAGCAAAGCTTGGTCATCTAAAAAAGCTCAAAAACCAATATACTGCTGATGAGAACGACGAGAAGCCAGGAGAAATTGGCCAAAAGTTCGAACTCGTGCAACCTGAGATGGTCCACACTGTGGTGGAAAAGGCTTCGAAGCAAGTGCGGGAGTTCCTATCTGCAGTGCATGCATCAGAGTACGACAAAGCGATGCATCAGTACTTGACTCAGAAGCGACAATGGGAGCAGTATCTCTCAGGTAACACTGATCTTTACGACCCATTCAACCACCAGAAGATTGCCGTCCTATACAGTGTTGTCAATACTACAACATCAACTCCTTGCATTGGCCCGGAGATTATCGCACTTGGCTTCTATCAAGAGCACGACTACGACGATGGCTTCACACCTGACTGTACTCTAGGCCAATATGTCGAAGATCTATGCACGTCAGCTGGCGTTGCTTGTGAAGTAGGTAACTGCGACCGAAGAATGCTCGATCATTCCAGACAATACGTGCATGGTGAAGGTCAGATGACGGTTATCGTCCAAAAGCATCCGGCAAAGATAAAGGGGATGTACCAGACCATCCTCATGTGGAGCTGTTGCAGGATATGCGGCCAGGAGACGCAAGCGTTCCCGATGTCTGAATGGAGTTGGAGATATTCCTTCGCGAAGTATCTCGAATTGACTTTCTGGAGCACCAAGCTGCATCCGCGAGCAGGCATATGTCCACACGACATCCACAAGGATCACGTCCGCTACTTTGGCTACAACAATGTTGCTCTTCGTATCCAGTACGATCCCGTACCAATGTACGAAGTTATTGCACCCAAACCAAACGTGACCTGGAAGGTGGATAGCGATCTGAGATTGAAGAACAGTCAGTATTCGATGATCGAAGAGAAGTTGGACTGTTTCATGGACTCACTTCGCGCCCGTATTCAGGGAATACATGTTGAAGATGTCATTCCAGAGAAGGTAGATCTGTGTCGGAAGGAAGTTGAGATACTTCTGAAGCGCGCAAACGAAGAACACGAGTGGCTGAAGGCCAAGCTTCAAGACAAGTACATGAATTCCAAGTACTACGAAATCATCCCCATGAACCGCGCAATTCGCGCGATTCAGGAGAAGGCTATTGCCTGGGATGTGACGTTCTTGGAGTTTGAGCAGCAGTTCTTCCCGTCTGAGCGGGACATTAGGAGGTACGCGAATATGCAACTGAAGAGATTTCTGGAGCGCGACGAGTCCACGAGCTCGTTGGCGTCTGTCGATGAAGGCACCGAATCAGGTGCAGATGATTCATATATCGATGAGAAAGATGAGTCAATTGCTCTGTCGCCTAGACCTTCCAACATGTCGCCTGAGATGGCGCGCGACATGTTGAGCTCCGTCGTCAAAGAAGAGAGCGCAGCTAGCGACCAACCAGTCAATGGAGAAGAGCAGACATCTGAGCCCAGGACGCCCACTCCTCCCAAAACTAATTTGGACTTACCAATTCAAACCCCACGCGAGGCACTGGAGCGAGAGGACGTCCGTCATTTGGATCTGGCGGTGCCTTCCAACTACCCCGAAACTTCTACAACTACCAGTGAAGAACTGACCAAAACTCCCACTGCTGCCTCCGATCCAAGCAAGTTCGATGAGGGGTCGCCTACACCCACTAGTCTTCCCAAAGTCAACCCGATCGACAAATCGCTTGCGGAAGCTATCGAAAACATGCCTAGTAGTCCATCTCCGCTGCCGTCAGCTTTGACTCCAACAGCAGAGAGCAAGATACCGCGACTGGTCGAAACCGGTCGACGTGAGACACCAGCCAGGCCAACATCACTCGTTAGGACACAGTCCCAACCTGGAAATATCGCGAAGCATCTGGGTCCTTTCCCAGGCTCGACCACTGTCAATAACGGGCCTACTAGTCCAAAGCCGAACGCAAACGATTCTTCGAAAGCTTTTGAGCGTATGACTGAGCGACTTGGGCTGGGATTGACCACGCCAAAACAATCCAAAGCCTCATCCCGAATACCTCGTTCGATTCCCTACAAGAGTCAGAACAAAGTATCGAAGATTGCACAACATTTTGAACAGCTATCACGAGAGTTTCAAAACCAGCGTATGCGTGAGCGGCGTAACGATCGGGCCAGACAAGTGCGCGCGTTCCCACTTGCTTCTTCTAAACCGGTTGTTGAGGTATATAAGAACGTACATGACGCGGTTCAAGAAAATGAGGATTCTGACGAAGACATACGTACTCCAACCCCTCCACGGGCAAGCCTAGACAATAGCACACTTGGTGATAGCACCCTTACGGAGCGTACGGACGATACAACAACGGCCTCGCAGTCGCCAGTCGAGGAGCGTCATCCCCAGGACGCTATGGCTCAACTTCCAAGCAGTGACGAGTCACCCAAGTCTCCAAGTCACTTTCCGTCAGATACAGAGAACGACATTAGTGATACAGAGATTACACCCGAAGACATCCCTCTGCCAGAAAGTCTTTCGGGTTCCAAGCTTTTGGATTTGAGTGACTCGCAGCTAGAGAATTCCCTTGAGCTGCCCAAACACGAGAAGAACACCCTTCTCAAAATTCTTACCAGCTTCTGGTCCGAGCGCTCAGCAAGTGGATGGACACCACTTGAGTATCCTTTCTCGCAGATTGAACATGTTTGGGAGAACTCCGATATCATTATTCGAGAAGACGAGCCTAGCTCCATCATCGCATTGGCGCTGTCGTGTCCAGATTACGTTGCTAAGCGGCAGAATTTTCGCGATGACAACCCAGCGGGCAATGGTGTGATGGAGACGTTTGAAGAATCAGTCGAACGTAATCTTCTACATGAGGAAAACCACAACATCCGCTACAGTTTCACCAATCGCGGAGTCAAAGCGCACTGCAAGATATTCTATGCCCAGTCCTTTGATGCCCTTCGCCGCAAATGCGGTGTAGCAGAACGTTTTGTTGAGTCTCTATCCCGTTGTTCGAAGTGGGACTCCAAGGGCGGGAAATCCAAGTCGATCTTTCTGAAGACGCTCGACGACCGCTTCGTCCTCAAGTCACTTTCTCCAGTTGAAGTGCAAGCCTTCTTCAAGTTTGGCCCCAACTACTTTGCTTTCACGCATCAGAACCTCTTCAAGTCATTGCCTAGTGTTATCGCCAAGATGTTCGGTCTTTTCCAAGTCCAGATCAAGACACCCACAGGTCGAGACTTTGATTGGTACATGTTGGTCATGGAGAATCTGTTCTACGACCGTGAACCCAACCGCCGTTACGATTTGAAGGGTAGCATGCGCAACCGCAAAATCCAAGCCACAGGCGAACGCGACGAAGTTCTTCTTGATGAGAATCTTGTCGACATCATATATTCCGAGACACCTATTTTCGTCCGTGAGCACACCAAGAAACTACTTAAAGCCAGCGTCTTCAACGACACGCTCTTCCTATCGCAAAACAACGTCATGGATTACTCTCTCATGGCAGGCTTCGACGACACCCAACGCGAGATCATCGTGGGTATTATTGATTGTATCCGTACTTATACTTGGGACAAAAAGCTGGAGAGCTGGATCAAGGACCGCGGCAAGAACAAGCCTACCATCACGTCACCTCGTGATTATCGTAATAGGTTCAGGATTGCTATGGAGAAGTACATTCTCCAGGCGCCTAACTGCTGGCATCAGTTCAGTGGCAGACTCGTTGGGCAGGGTGTTGATGGACGGAGGGCGTTGGTTGAGGGAAGGAGCAGTATGGAGGGTGGGCATAAGAGAGGCGTTAGTGGTAGCAGCGCAGGAGGAGCGAGCACTGTGAGGGATATGGGACGCACGCTAGCTTTTGGTGGAGAAGGCCGTAATGCTCGGAGAGCTTGATGAGATCAGACTGATATGGCTACGGGTCGTTTGGCTAGCGCGGCGCTGGGGTAATGAACTCTGATTTCGATCATACTTTTTGTTACAAGCTAAGTTGGAAAGTACGTTCTTATACAAAAGTATACAACTGCATACTGCTGCCACTATGTTTGCTCTTTCCTCAGCCCCTCACCTAATACGCCAACAACACCCTCCACATCTCCCATCTCGTCCTTCCCCTCCCTTTCCACAACATCAGCCAACCCCTGAAACACACTTGCAATCTCCCTGAAGACCTTCGCGTCGCCCTTCCACCCACCTTCCTCTTCAAAACACGCTCCAATCTGATTCATCTCCTCCACCCAACGATACGCTTTCCCCGTGCATCCCACAACACTCCTCTCCGCCTTCTGCCTCGCACCAATATTGTATACGTCCATGTACTCGAGTAGCGGGTTCAGCACCCCAAGGGACGACGCGGTGGTAAAAGATTGCAAAGCCAACGCCGTGAAACCTTTCGACAGCGCCGCGAAACAGCATTTCAGGCCTGATGCTGTACCGATTTCTGCGCCAAGATAGCGTGTATTCAGCACTTCTGCCAAATGCGTACCGGATACTGGTGCTGAATGAAGAGGATGCGGACCTGATAAAGGAACACCAGGTCTTTTCCACCCATTTGTTTCTGTTTCTGATGGCGATGGTGGCCCGCCAATGATACCTCCGTCGACGAACCGCAAGCCCGGCGCATTCTGCTCGAATGATCTTGCCATTGTTTTCACTGTGGAGGGGCTAATAGCGTTTAAATCCAGGTAGTAAAGTAGTTTTCCTCCTCTGTCACGTCCGTTTGCTAGTGCGACTTCCACGCGTTTCGCTGTTGCAATGGCGTCGCGGGGTGGCACGATACTAAGGATATAGTCGCAACTGCGGACTAAGTCTTCGTCTGTATCAAACAGCTCAATTCCAGCAGACTCGGCACGGGATTTGGTTGCGTCGCTGCGAGCACTGATGTTCGTGATCACGCGGTAGTGATGTGCTTTGAGAAGTTGGGCGATGCCTAGGCCCATTTGGCCGATTGAGAGAATACCTATTGTTGTGGACATTTCGGGACAGATGGCTGATAGTTGTGAGATTGAAGAGATTGGACTATGGGTTGTGTTGTAGGTGCTGTGAGGATGATGACGAAGTGGGGGATGTATGGTGGGGTGAATGTCGACGGGAGCTTTAACGCAGAGTGGTTAGTGGAGTGTAGGGGCAAACTTCAAAGTTCAAGATCTCATAGCTTTCGGATAAGACTTTTAGCACGATAGTGGTAATGTACATAGCTACGATTGTCTTCATTTATCGAAATCGTCTGTCATTTCTACTCCGACATACTCTGTGACTATGTTCAGAGCGTTCCTCCTCTAACGTCCAGATCCTCAGAATGGCTTTAACAGGTTCAAATCATGAGTTTCAACTTGATAGCCATCAGCCTGGTAGCCGCTAGTAAAGTAAGATGCCGCCTGCGTATTTCCCTTCATAGTCCACAACATCCAGTTGAGAATGGCTTTGCCAAATCGGCCGCCGTTTGCGTCACCTAGTGTACCACCATGGCCAACAGGAATGTTACCCTTCCATGATGGAACACCCTGCGCAAGATTTTTGAAGTCGCGTTCGCCCTTTATCTCGTGTTAGTCTACATGCCAGGAACGAAGAGAGGGTGAGTATGGCAAAACTCACGTTCTGGAATGCAATGTCGCCCTGACCACCCAGTACAAAAAGTACGGGCTTCCTCCAGTCTCTAGCTGCGCTGGTGTTTGAAAGCAGACCTGAACTGATCACTCCGATTGTGTCAACGCGGCTATCCCAGATGTTGTCGATAGCCTCAACACCACCACACGAGAATCCTGCCGCCATAATCTTGCTCGCATCGACATTAGCGTACGCGCCCTTTCCAGCGTTGTTGGTGACCCAGTCAATAGCTTGCTTCATGGTCTGCGCATTTGAAGAACCTCCACCATTGGGACCGCCCTCAGCGATAGCCAGGAAGCCATAGCTGGCAATGTTCTGCAAGAGAGCGGAGTTAGAGCGGCCGTCAGTGCTGCATGCTCCGTTGCCCCAGACGAGAACAGGAAGCTTTTCGGAACCGGTGTTCTTGGTCGGGTAGTAGATTGTGTGGCCCTGGAGAGAGTTGTCGGTCTTGTATGTGCCGGGTGCGTATGGGCCTGCTCCGCTACCTTGCTGTCGGGCCTCTATGTTGAGTGGAGATGCGACGGCGGTGTCCAAAGTAAGCGCCACAATGGCGAGACTCAATGTGTACTTCATACTGTTCGAGATGCGATACAATCAAGGTATTTGCGAGCTGATCTGAGGAGTGATGCGGATGACTGAGTCAAGTACAGAGCAACTTATATAGTCGAGAACGCTCCTGTTTTGAGTATGCTAATAAGCTCACGCGCATCTTTCTTCATTTTGTCTTAGCTGGTGACAGCACACTCTTTTGAATTTGCAACCGTTTTGATTGCGAAGGGATAAAATCATCGCACCGACTACCAATGAACTCTCCATGCGTATATTCGATCGGTCCTTTTTCGTCTGAGATGACGCCTGAATCTGGCAGAACCCTTCATATAGGCCCGGGATCAAGATGTTTTGTGTGAAAACACAAACCATTTTCTGCTAGGCAAACGTGCGCTAATTGGGCGCGAGTGCTTCATCTTAATATGTTGTGGATGGAAACAGTCTTGGCCGGTGGTTAAGCTCGCTAGCTGGTCACCGGATGAGATCTTCGGGAGCGAAACGCAAGATCTCGCATCGGGTGATTGTGTCGATTGCGGGGAAGAGCATCGCGTATCGATACTCTAATATCGGCTGCTACCCAGGTACAAGCATTGCTTTTAGGCGAGGTGGTGTCGAGTATATTTCCGTTCGCATAAGGAGGGAGAGGCTTGGGGGGCTTGTGTCTGGCGGTTACGTCATGTTGCTAGTGCGTACTAGCAGAAATTATCGGCGCTCGGTGATGACGATGGAAGAGTTGAGTGTTCGTCAAGCTAAACCTGGTGTCGAGAAGGGAAGTAGAGGGCAGATCATTCACCCTGAACGCTATGGCGTTACGATCGTTGTCAGCTCCTTCACCAGATTGGACTATGAGGCCTCGTAAAACTCATCCGTTCTCAGCCGCCGCTAGATCTGGAATTTCATCTATATGATCTCATAAAACGCTTTCGCCCTAGAATTGTATGTACAAGCGCGCCACACCGCTCGTGTATAGAGATGCGAACCCTGGTGGGCGCGACTGAAGCTACGCAATACTTCATAGAGATGCACCATTTTCCCTCAAATCGAAATCTCTCTTTCTTCGATTCCATAGCTTCATCTTGTTTCACGTTTTCCCAAGCTCTTCCCCATTTCTTCAAGCCGCTGCCTTATCGCGAAATAGCCTACTGGTTTGGACAGTATTCATCAACCGCCCTATTGGCACAGTCGCTGCCTCCATGCTGCCAACACTGACTGTCCCAGCTATTGATAGCCAAAAACGTACTGTAGAAACACTGATCCATGTACTTCGTCTCGTTCTCACAGCGGGACAAACAACGAGGACAGTATCTCTTGTAGCCACCAGCTTCAGCCTCACAAATCTCCAGCGGTGTCGTTGGAGTGGGTGTGGGTGTCTGGCTAGCGCTCGTTACGGAGCTACTAGTCGCAGATGGCGTTGGGACTATACCATAGTTTTGTTCGATACAGTAAGAATTTCCCGAAACGAGGTTGCAGCCATCTACTAGACTTGGGTTCTGTTCGACGAGTTAGTATGAGAGGAGTGCGTCTTGCTGCATTTAAGTCGTACGTATGTCTTGAACTGCACTTCTGTGATGCCCCAGTATTCACTTATACCCGCACATGTGTCAGTCTCTGTAGCGACCTGCCACCATGTGCAGTCCGAGATGGTATCTGGAGATGCGGTAGTCGGAGGGTCGGTTTCGTATGCTCCGATAAGCAGCGGAAGCAGGGCGAGGCCAAGAGTGAATGAAGCTACCATGATGTGTAATTGATGGTTGTAAGATTTGCTCTGAACTAATAGGAGGACGAGTAGGATGCGTCCAGAAGTGTGGAATACGGAATCGCTTTATACAAGTGAGAAACATGTACTCAGAGTTGGTGGCCTTACGCGTAGACAGTGAGCTGCCTGTGCGGTATCTTAGCCGCACAACACGTGCTAGGCTACCATCGAGGCCGATGAACAAGCACCTGGAAAGTGCCATGCAAAAACCCGTTTCCTATGCAAAAAAAGGAAAGTTTGCCGGATCGGGTAGTTAGATGCCTAGCAGGAACAATGAACCCACATGGTCACGGCTCCTTGGACGCCTGATGGCCAGGAAAATATATGTTCTAGACATGAGAAATGTAGGAGGCCTCGAAAGCCTTAGATTTTGTGCCATTGGAACTGACATAAAGCAGCTGTGGATAAGGCGGCAAACGCTACTGATGATCCTCATTTCACTAGGCCTAGCGTACAGCGAGGGCGTCGCTTCCAATGCCAGCCTAGAGACTTCGAACTGTTCAGAGGTGCTCCATCCAATTATCATGTCAGATTTTTGCTGCAGTAGCAACCACACAAGAGCTATTAGCCAGCATGATCAATTCTATCTGCATGTCGCAAGACGATCGTCCATCCTCTGTCTATCTAGACCCCACCGCGCCGTGTGCCACCACCTGGGCAGTCTTCTTCCAAGTCAGCATTCCCAAGGCCAAACTCGCAAACCAAAACACCACATTCAAGAAACAAAAAGCCTGCGCAGCATTCCATCTGCTGCATGATCCATTCCGCAAACCCATCTCATTCCAAGCCCAGGTACTGCCACAAGACATAGCACTCGTGTACCAATCTTGCAGTAAACCAAACACAGCGCACCATGCGCTGCAGAAGAGAACATCGCCAACTATATTCACAATATGCGAAGTAGTGGGAAGAAGCCAGATCAGCGATACGATGGTCGATACAATGGCTATGATAACGCTGTAGATGAGGCGGCCGTACGAGCCGCTATGGTCCTTGTGCTGTTGGTGATACAGGAGGTAAGATGATACAGCGAGTACGACGGCTGCACAGACAAATTGCGCAAAGCGCAAGGCCATGGAGATGAGCCGGAAGATGATCATTGTGCTTTGTTCGAGAACGATGGCTTGAACCTGCTGTCTTGTGGGTGATGCTGGGGGTTGAGGTGATTGGTAGTCAGCGAGATCGTTGGAGGCGTTGTCATTCAAGTTTCGCAGAAGAGGTATAATCTCTATATTTCGCCCGCAGATTGCGGACCATTTGCCTTATACGATCAGCTTCGATCGCAGAGCCAAATGCGCCCACTCGAAATGATCGGTGACTACATGTGAATGTAGGATAAAGCTAAAGTTTAGTGCTGTTGCTTTCATTCACATAGCCATGGACCAATGACTTTCGTCTGACATCTGTGATATTTGACGTACCATTAAACTACCAATATAGCACTCATACCTGGGGTGAATCGTTATTCCAACGCGTCATAAATGCCCTTCTCCGCCATGAACCACGCAGGAATGACTTTGGGATCTCCATTGGGCAACACTTGCGATGCGAGCATTCCCGCAATCCCCTTCTCTCTATCAACCCACCAGAAACAATTACACAGACCCATCCACCACAGCGTGTTTGCTCCACGACCAGACGGGCCAGGCTCGATAGTGATGAAGCCGCCAAAGCCCCAACCTTGAGGAGGGTTGCCAGGCTGAGGATACATATCCGCGGCTTGACTGACCAGCGAAGGGTCTGCAGGTGGGACATTGGCGCGTGCGAAATCGGGTTGAGAGGGAATTTGGTTCTCCCACATGAGATCCACTGACTCTTTCTTGAGGATGCGGTTCTGTGTTTGTGGGTTTGTTCCATCGTTCAATAGAGCAGCAAGAACTTTTATGTACTCGCTTGGCCTCGACCAAAGTCCTGCACCACCAGATTGGAGAAAGTCTTTTTGGTTTTCCTTAGCGCAGGAAAGTGGACCGTCGTAAAGATGTTCGCGTTTCTTGAGCGTGCCGTCGGTGTCACGTTGGTGCATATGTGCTAGGTTCTTTTGAGCTTCTTTGGAAGGAAACATGGATGCGCCCTCTGCGGCGATGCCCACGGGCGTGAAGATGTGCTCTTGGAAGTATTCGCCCAGCGTTTGACCAGTGACGCGTTCGAGAACGATACCTGCCCAGTCCATATTAATGCCGTATTCCCACATGCTACCTGGCTGGTTCACCATCTTCGAGTCAA